CAGTTAAGTAAAGTCTTTCACAGATTCATGAGAATCACTTTTATAAAGTCGTCATGTCCTGTTGAAAACCCGGCTGGTGCTTCAGAGAGCTTCTTTCTTCATTTCCTGGCAAAACTTCTCCAGAAATTCCCTACACGTGGAGGAAGAGCGAGCCCCTCTTTCCTAATATGGTCATATGAACCAGACTTGTTCCGCCTAAAAACAGAGGTTCATTTATTACCGTGGTGCCTTCAGGTACTGTCCATAAAAATGTACGTGCTGCTCAACAAATTCACACATGAAGACAAAGATAGGAAACACTTATCAGAATAATGGTTTCAATGTTGGCTGGGAAATTGGAAGACACAGTAAATAATAATAATAAAAAAAGAATTAAATATGGACTTGATCTTGTTCTCAAGCTAGTGTTAGCATAGCAGCTTAGCTATCAGCTAAAAGATGCACAAAAAAAAACAGTTCAGATGTCATTACTTAAGAATGCTAAGAAAAAATAACTTTCATGCTTATGATTTGTTTATTAGCTAAATATTCATGAACCGCTGAGCAGATTAAACTGCTAATTAACTTTAGCCAACACAAAAGAGGCTACAAATTTGCCATTAGTTTTTATTTCTTTATTTTACAAATAATGTGATTCTATATGCCCACAAAAACAGGCAGTGACAGTCCTGTCTGAGGAACTCGTCTTGTGCGAGAGCGAAACCAACGTGCTGCCCGTGAACGCACCACTCGTCTCCGCTGCCCGTTTAGTTTAAGAAGTTCGTTTAAAATAAAGCGAAACCGAAATAAGGTGGAGGGCAGCATCGAGTTGCATCATCACCACCGTGTGGTTGTAAAAAAAACCATCAGAGGGGCGGTCTGAGCGGCTCATTCTCATCAAGTCACCGACGAGCAGCGACTCCAGCTCCGACCGGCTCCAGGCTGCGACATGATCCGGACCGGGTGACGCGTTCATCCTGCAGGTGGAAACAAACAGCAACACAGCAGGAGCCAAAGAGATGCCCCTGTTATTTATGGACACCGGGTACGAGGAGTCCAACAGCCCAGACTCTCTGTCAGCTGAGGAGAGCTGCAGCTACGCCTCAGGACTGGTGAGAATAATCCCACTGGATTAACTCAAATTACTGAAAAACGCAGCACTGTAAAGTTTACAGCTGCAAACTATAAACTACACAACCAGTGGAGCATCCAGAAGTGTTGTGATGCTGTTGTCTTATATTGTTTTTAAAATGCAGATCTGATTATTTCCATAGGTCTACTTTAACTTTGTAATAATTATTATATTAATTATTTATTTACAACATTTTAGAGGTGACCATCCCATTGCCATGCTGTAGGTTATATAATACATCATTTATACATACTCTACCATACATACACATATTTAACTCTATGAGGCAATGGTACAGACTGGGTGTAAAATACTAAAGGAAATAGCAAATAAAATATTATTCATGCCCTAAAGCTAAAATAAAATATCCGTAAATTAAGATAATACTCTTGCCCAGGGGTCAAAAGGCTTAATTATTTGCAGCTGTGCTGTAAATCATATTATTTGTGCACTGATGTGCGGAAAATAAATGAAAATAATTTAATTATTAATATTCCTTTTACTTAAAAATGCAGACATTTACCACAAACGTCAAAGTGGTTTTCAGTGGATTGTTATGTTTACGTTGAGCACGTACCCGCATTTCAGAACCTCATATCAGTATATCTGTAGAACCACTGCACCGTTTGATGCAATTCAGGAAGAAAAAAACAACTATGTTTGGATTCTTAGTTTGGTGTGAGCATTTTAATGTTTGACATTAAAACATTTGTTTATTAAAAAAAGTTCTCCTGCAAACATTAGGTGTTCCTCTCAGAGAGGATGTAGTTTTTCTTTTTCTTACATTACAAATAAATGTTTTAGCTAAATGAGTTAATATTTCTGACTATAGATGATCTGAGGACTTTAGATTTAAGAGTAAAATTTATTTCATATTTATTTGTTGTAATTTACAGTAAGTCTGTCTTAAAAGTCGAGACGTTTTCTCGCTTCCCTATAACATCACAGGACTCTGTGAGGATTTCACGTCTCACTCCCTCACGAGGGTTTTAACTAACGTTGGGTGGGGAAAGATCAAAAAGGTTAAAAATGGACAAAGAACTTCAGTTGTCATCAAATAAAAATATATCAATAATGATATTTTAAGTTAATTTTAATGCCTGTTTGATTTAATCTCTTTGATGTGAGGTTCTGTGGAAAGGTTATGAACAATGAACATCTTACCTGTTGCAGATAGCGCTTTGGACAAACTCATTTTGGTATAACTCAGACCAAAATGATGAGGTAATGTTTATTTTATATTATGGTAAGCTGAGACCAAAACAGCTCACAGAAATCTTTTAAAAAAACTTTACTCTGCAGCTAGTTTTTGATTACATTGTTGTTTAGGCCGAAATATTATGATATTCCTCCTGTAAGTGTCACCTGGCTGCACAGGAAGTGCTACAGCAAGCTGCTGTTGCTACTGTTTTCACTTATAAATAACTATATTCTATGGGACTGTGTAATATAAAACCGATAAAGGTGAAAAGGTTCATAAAACAATGTTTACTTAGTCTTGCTTCGAGTAGCTATTAGCTTCTCAATCTGGTCAAAAAACTGTGTTTGCTAAGCCTAGCCCTGCCTGGCTGTCTGCTTGTCAATCTGGAAAAAAAAGAAAAAGAAATAAAACAGTGTTTGCTTAGTTTTATTACAACTAAGTGTTAGCTTGTTGGTCTGGTCAGAAAACTGTTTGCCTAACATGGTTCTGATTAGCTTGTTGATGGTTTAGATTTGCTCAATCTAGCTGTTAGCTTGTGATTCTAGTCAAAAATCAATGTTTTTCTTAGCCTTACATGACTAGTTGTTTGCTTGTCAATTTGGTCAGAAATCAATGTCTGCTTAACCTTTCTCTGATTAGCCATTAGCTTGTTGATGGCTTAGCGCTGCCCTGACTAGTCGTTAACTTGTCCATGGCTTTGCCTTGCCTTGACTAGCCATTTTAACTTGTCCATGGCTTTTCTTTGCCCTGACTAGTTGTTAGCTTGTTGATGGCTTTGCCTTGCCCTGACTAGCCATTAACTTGTCCATGGCTTTGCCTTGCCTTGACTAGTTGTTAGCTTGGTGATGGCTTTGCCTTGCCCTGACTAGTCATTAGCTTGTCCATAGCTTTGCCTTGCCCTGACTAGTCGTTAGCTTGTTCATGGCTTTGCCTTGCCCTGACTAGCCATTAACTTGTCCATGGCTTTTCTTTGCCCTGACTAGTTGTTAGCTTGTCCATGGCATTTCCTTGCCCTGACTAGTTGTTAGCTTGTCCATGGCTTTTCCTTGCCCTGACTAGCCATTAGCTTGTCCATGGCTTTTCTTTGCCCTGACTAGTCATTAACTTGTCCATGGCTTTTCTTTGCCCTGACTAGTCGTTAGCTTGTCCATGGCTTTTCCTTGCCCTGACTAGTCATTAACTTGTCCATGGCTTTTCTTTGCCCTGACTAGTCGTTAGCTTGTCCATGGCTTTTCTTTGCCCTGACTAGCCATTAACTTGTCCATGGCTTTTCTTTGCCCTGACTAGTCGTTAGCTTGTCCGTGGCTTAGCCTTGCCCTGACTAGTCGTTAGCTTGTTGATGGCTTAGCATTGCCCTGACTAGCTATTAGCTTGTCAATCTGCTCAGAAATCAGTGTTTGCTTAGCCATTAGCTCTTCAATCTGCTGTTTTTCTCCTGACTGAAGTTATTCAAAGAGCTATCTATAACAGGTAAGATATTCACTGATCACAACCTTTACACTGAAACCCTTTTAAATAAATGTCAATTTCCTTTTTATCTACAGTTTGTAAACAGTAAAAATAATGTGAGATTGTTTTTATTGATCTCTGGTGGGATTAATAATAGAGATTTATTTTAGGGACTTTAATAAAAACTTTATTCCAAATTTTTATTTAAAATAAATGGGGAAATCAACAGTGGAAGTTTTTTTGTTTAAATGGAGGAATTCGATTCTGTTTTCTGAGCAAAACACAAAGTTCTTTCAGGTATACTCATCCATGCTATTCATTTGAGATCAGCTTCACGTCACAATCTGCACAAATAAAAAGTCCAGGTCCATTTATGACTTTATTGATCTGTTTTTATTTTGAGCCATCACATGCCGTCTCTTGTGATGCACTCATCTCATGACAACCCGCGAACTCATAATGCAAGTGAAAAAAAAAAAAAACCTGTGACACGAACGTGGCTAACTTCAGGTCCGTCTGCCCCTGCAGGAGAGGGACGGGGACGTCCAGCAGAGTGGACCCAGAGGCTCAAAGAGACAGGAGAAGAACCGAGTCGCAGCGAGGAAGAGCCGGCGGAAACAGACCGAGAGGGCGGATGAACTTCACGAGGTCTGGAATGCCTCACTGCCCCAAGAAGTTTTATCTTTTGTTTTCCTGCTTCCTGCGACTTTCAGTTTTCCTCTCAGTGTGACACTCAAGGTTGTGCGACTGGTTGTGTGTCTGTGTGTGTGTCTCTTGTGCAATCTGGTAGAACGCCGGGAGTCGTTTCTTGTAAATACTCTGCTTTAGGAGAAGCACGCTCCCCTCTGCCTGTCCTCCCATTTGGCCCGCCCCTTTGTCCTTTACACACACACACACACACACACACACATACACACACACACACTCTGTTCCACATGAATGAGTACACACTAACTGCTCACTCAGTTTTTTAAAAACCCTACTGCTGCCCTCGGGTCAAAACGAACGGCGAGTCGTAAATCTGAATCTCCAGTTATTTTGACCTGAGGACAGCAGGAGGGTTAATCCGTTTTTTGTCTTAAAACAGGTCTTACCTTTAAAATTAATAAAAAACAAAACAAAAACGCATTTCTTTCATATATAAAACACATTCATTTAACGTAGTAGATCTCAAACTGCGGGGTGGACCTTTGGCTGGGGGTGCAAAGTTGCTTAATTAGTGTTTTTATTCGTTGTTTATATTAGTTTTTAAATTTAGCAGCAAATTATTCAGAGAAAACAAACAAAGAAGAATGGTTCTAATATTTCTGAGAGAATTGTGTGTGTGTGTGGGGGTGGGGGCACGGACAATTAATTTTCTTGGCTTGATAAAAAGTTTAAGGATTTAAAGTGTAACTTACCCCCCCTGTGAAAAGATAACTCCGCCCCAAGGCGAAATTTGAAAAATGCATCAAAGTGGGTAGGGGAGGGGGTGTGGGTGGAGGAAGGGGGGTTAGAGAGCGGAGGTGTGGCCAGGTCGAGAGAACGTGACAGGCAGCTAGCATTAGCATAATTGATGCTACATGGAAAGTGACAGAGCGACAGTATCGCAGCAGTTACATCTCTGAACGTCTGAGGTGGAGGATTTTCACTCCACACCAGCACCGGACAGAGGAGTAGCGCTCTGACTGCCTGACAGAAAAAAATAAAAGCACCCGCGCGGGGGGGGGGGCTGCGGACATGTAAGCGCTGGCTGTGAAGCAGGAGGAAAGGAGAGGGGGATGTTATTTATTGTTTTTAAATCATCCTATAGGCTCTGACATGTTAGATAAACATAGAT